GTGGTGGGCATTGGATACCCGCCCAGTAAATATGTCTATGACTTTCGTCGAGGCCCAGATCTTACACCACCAGCCGATGAGTACGAGATGCCGCTCGACAGATACGGCAAGCCTCGTACAGACATCTCATTTGGTGAAGCCAATGAATTTCTCGATTGGATTAAAGCCGATGTTATGCCTTACGTTGAAGACAAGCTCTTCCCCAAGGCCAATCTTCACACCGGTCGCAAGGCTCTGTTTGGCCATTCATATGGCGGCATCTTCACCCTCAACACCATGTTTACTCAACCAGAGCTCTTCAACACTTATATCGCTGCCAGTCCTGTCATTTGGTGGAACAAGGACTTTTTAATCCGCGAACGTGAGACTGCTTTTCTTGCACGCGACAAGCCCGTCGACCCTCCATTTTCACTGGCTCTTACATGGGGCACCGGCAAGTCAGAGTTGGTGAGAGATCCTGACGACGATGACGAGAAGTGGTACAAGAGACAGAACTGTGCGGAGGACGATAAGATGAAACCAAGCGCAACGGCTTTGGTGTCGCGACTCAAGGATTCTCCGAGTGTCAAGAAGATTTGGACACGTGAGTTTGAGGGCGAGGATCACGGAAGTGTGGCGGTGACGGGTCTTCAGCAGGGACTCATGCAGTTCATTCTCGGCAAGATCTAATATTATTGAAGATAGAATTGATAGACTTGAATTGGAGTTGGCGCATGCAAGTGCGCAAATCGTACAAACTCTTCACAACTGGCGCTGTTGATTGGGTGTGCGTACAGTGGTCTACTGGATGAACACTTCAATCGCGACCCATCTGTCGGAGATCACGAGACAGTAGAAGCAGTTGAAAATGCTCCGGTGTTGGAAATTGCAGATCATTCAATTGCCGTGTAGTTCGTCGACGATACGCTGACCTCGAAAGTATGCCTCAGCTTGCTTCATATCATGGACTGGATAGCATTCAGGTGGCCACTCAGCGACCAGTCACCGGTCGACACAAGATCGATACAAGATTGCAACCGATTTTCACGTATTACTGGAACTTCAAAGACAAATAAAAAGGCAAAAACTGCCATTCTGTTGAGGCGCATAATGCCATCATCGTTTATTACAATTGTCTTTTAGTTACTAGGTATGTAGCATCATATAACATTACTCTTCCACCATAATTTTTTGTTCTGAGATCAATATGACCATATCATCCAAGATACTCCAGTCTCTTAGAAGACAGTACCCTTGGTCTGCTTGATCTTCCTGAGATCGTAGTTCTTGATCAAGAACAGCGAGATAAGAGCGACAGCCATGATGCCAGTTCCGGCAGCAAGCATGCGAGCCTGGCCATAACCGTATGCCTTCTGAATCGCAAGGCGCTCGGGGCTGCCCATCTCATAGAGGAGCTGAGAGTCGAGGGACTCATAAATGGTGTCGAGATCAGCCTGGGCGGACTCGGGAAGATAATCGGCGAGCTTCTTATAGAAGGTGTTGGTCCAGATAGTGGCAGAGATAGTGCTACCGACAGCAGCTCCGATGTTGCCAGTGACGCTAAGAGTAGCCAAAGCAGTAGCTACATACTGATGCTCGACGGCAGCGAGGACACCGACTTGCATGCAAAGAATAAAGGTAGCGCCAGCGATTGAGATGAAGACTTCACACATAATAAGGTAGCCAATGGATTGACCAGGGCGACGGAAGTAGATCATAAGACCTTGAGAAAACATGTACAGAGGAATACCGACGCACAAAATCCACTTGAAGCGTCCGGTCTTGTGCATGGCATACCCGACAATAAAGAGGAGGACACCAGAGACGATCTCAAAGGTGTTGTTGACATAACCGGCCGTGGAGGGAGAAAGGTTGTTTACCACCTGGAGGAACGAGGTAAAGTAGCTGTTCCAGCAGTAATAGGCGATCATGTAGACTAAGTCCAGAAGGCAGACACCGATAACGGTGCGGCTGGTAAGGAGCTCGAAGCGAAGGAATGGCTTAGGGGCAACCAAGCGCTCGTAAGCACCAAAGATGCCCAAAAGAACGACACCCAAAATGATCATCGCAATGATGTAGGGGGTGTCCCAACCTTTGGGGGCGGTGCTAGCGATGGAGAAGGGGAGAAGGAAGATGACAAGGCCAGCAGCGAACAAGAAAGCACCGGCAGCGTCGAACTCAATGAGTCCCCACTTGATGTTCTCCAGGAAAGATCGGCCGCTTGACTCATTGACGAGAATACCTTGCTTCTTGGCCTTCTGAAGGTTGTACCTCAGGAGGATGTACATGGGGATGGCGACGACGGGAAGGACAATGGAGAATGTTCCGAAGCCCCATCGCCACTGATCATCGTTTCGGAGGAAGGCCTCGGCGGACTTGGGGCCAGCGAAGGCTGTGATCATGTATGGAGAAGAGGTGAAGGCGTATGCAAGACCTCGGTTCTTGAGTTGTGTGGAATCGGCCGTGATAACGTCAATGCTGTAGGTGAGACCGGACCAGCCAACCTGCCAGAAGACCTTCAGGGCAATTAGTGAATGTCTGCTGTTGTAAGGGACCGGAGATGACTTACGGTAGCGGCACAATAGGTGGCGAGGTTGCGACTAGCAGCCATCATGGCCATACCAATGGTAGCAAAAATGACCATAAGAAGGAAACCTTCAGCACGACCCCAGATATCGAGGATCTTGGATAGGGGAATGTAGACAGCAGCAGTCATGCAGTTGGCGACAATGCCAATGACGGGAATGAGAGAGTGAGACTCCCATTCACTGCTGGCGTAGGGAACAAGAGTGTAATTGATCTGGCTCTGGAAACCATTGGTAAGGTAGATCAACCACATACTGCAACATCGTTAGTTCGCGACTTTAATTGCGACGAGATGGAAACATACAAAACAAAGACACCAGCAAGAGCCTTCTTGCTCCAGGCCAGAGTGGTAGCCTCAACGGCCTTGACACCATGCTGCGCGTTCTCAGTAACGGCATCGCTGGCGCTACCAGTCTCATCAGGGTATTTGCCAGCCTCTTGGTCCTTTTCGTTCATGGCAGCAGTGACAGTGACGGGTGCCTCAGCGGCATCGCGCTCATTGCCCTTGCGCCCAAGGAACTTGTCGAGAGCTCCCATGGTGATCTTGTCTTGGAGAGAATAAAATAAGCTTAAACTTTGGGAAGACAAGGAAGAAAGAGAGGCTCAGCAGATCATGGGAGGGAAGAGTACACGGTTATAAGTTTAAATTGACAGGGAAAATTTTAAAGCAGTTGTTTAGGAGCAAGGGTGCTTCCGGCTAGACTGTGAAGGATATTGGACGCAATCCACTTTCCATCAGATAAGATCAGGTCTCTCAGGTGGCCAAACCCACCGAGATCGGGCTCGTTTAGGACGATTGGGAAATGTGAACCAACAAGCAGAGAGAAAGTGACAGACTGGAGATTCTCGGAACGCGAGGGATCCAGCGGCTGCAGCCACTTTGTCGTTAGCACAGGCCTCGATGGCACGAGTTACCGGGTTTGTAGGTGGGGCCCGGGGGTTCAATTCGGACGGCGTCAAGCAGAGATTTCCATTATCTAATCTGATTGATCGATTAGATCGAATCAAGAGTTTTTGCTTCATCGGTGGAATTGCTTCTGTAGGGTTTGATCCGTGTTGGATTCATCGTATTGTGGGAGCCTGATTTAATCTTGATGCATTTTGGAGCATCGCTTTGCAGGCGTAAAGACAGGGTTCGCTGAGACTCACTGAGGCCTCACTGTAACCTCCGCTTTTGCAGCGGAGCCTCCCCATTTCGCATCTCACTAGGTACTTTCTTCAGCTTTTGCCTATGGCGCGGGATTGTATTACCTAGAGCCAACCAACTGCGTGATCTTGGCACCACGATACAAGGATTCCCATCAGGCGTCTTTTGTCATGTTCAACCAACGCGTCGGAACACTCCAACAAGATGTCGTTAAAAAAAAAACCCTGCATCAGCTGTCGACGTTCTCCGCTTGGCAAACAACCCCATCGGAAGCTCGCCGTAGAAAGCCCATATTTCTCTCTTGGCAATCAACAATAACTTCCTCTTGGCACATAGAGCTCCATTGCTCATCATCAGTAGCCTACAGACCATGCCCATTTATGGCTAAGACTGCATAACGAGGCTTGATTCTGGCCTCACAACCAGCGGACCAAACGCCACAAGGGGTCAAGTCCTCCAGGGGTCGGGTGCCTCAACCGCTTGAGCCGCGGGTTGTGGGAGACGAGTCACTCCACTGAAGGTCGTGAGACTGGACCCCTGAAGCTAGGAATGTGCTCTTTTTGCTCGGCCAACTATTTGTGCTTTGGTGGGAAAAGAAAGTTTGGGCGAGGCACGCGATCTTGTTGCTGCAAGCCTCGACGCAGTTTATCTGCCGCTTAAACAAGCTTAAATGACGGCTGCAACCGGCGCAATTTCGTCCAGTTGTCGGAGCTCATTTGCGTTAAAAAAACGGGAGCCGTAAGGTAATGAAGAAAATGGTCCCCCACGCTAGCTCCGTGTCACGAGAGGGTAGGTAATTCATGACATTTCCGGAGATAAACAACAGCCGACCAAAGTTCCGAAACTCATTCTAGCTGTATCGCCAGTTGACTTTATTGCCGTGCAATGGAGTTGCTATATCCAGAGTTTGCGGTTGATAGAAGCGCCAAAGTACAATTCACCTCGCTGTAGCACGTTGATCTTCAATCGCAACCTCTGCATGTAATTGAAGCTGATCAACAGGATCGGCGATGCCGTTGCGCCTTGGCAACGTGTCAAAGGATTTCTGATCGGTAAGATCGGATCACCGCTTGGCCAGTATCTTGGCAGAGTTATTCCCGTTGGAGTACGAATTGCCAATTGTGAACCGCTTCACTAATGCCGGAACGTCACAGCCAAGAGGTTGTAAGAACACACAACAGCGATAATAAAAATTGATTGATAATAAACAAGTCGCTAGCATTATTTTACTATCCAATGGCTATCAAATTTCCAATCCAACAACTTTTGAAGACATCTCCCCATTCATTTACAGCTTAGGCTCAAAGCCAAAGGTCGTGCCAGCGACACGAGGCTTGCCTTGGTTGAAGGGACAGATCTGGAAGAAGCGCTCACGAGAGATCTTGACGAGGTTGGATCGCTTGTGAGGCAGGTCCATCCACTTGTCCTGGTGAAGACCGAATATCATCTCATACTTGAGGACGTTCTCGCTGGAGAGACGAGGCTCGCCAACGACGTTCTCAGTGCGGTGGTCATCGAGGAACTCGTAGTGCATCACACTGGGCCACCATGCCATAACGCGATACTGCCCGCGGAACGTATCGTTGCCGACGAGCGAGTGTCGGCCGCGATCGAAGTCAAGGCAGGCGTAGTGTTGACCCATCTTGTCCTCCTTTGCCCAGTACAGCTCAAAGTAGGCGAAAGGTGTGTCGTTGAAGTAACCCAGAACAGCGAACTGATGAGGGTCATCGTGGATGTTCTTGAGATATGTGCGGTGCTCATCAAGAGTGCCAGTCTCCATCCATCCAGCAGCGACACGAGGGTCGTTCTGCCATGTGTTGAAGAGACCCAGGTGTTCGGGGTTCTCGTAGTCAAGAGCGACGAGGTTGAAGTGCTCGTCAAGAGATGGGATGTACCGGCTGTAGATGTGACTACCGGCAGCAGGCTTGGGTGTTCGGCGCGGGTGACGCAGGAGAGTGGACTCGGAGGTGGGCGTCATCACGTACTCCAGATGAGGCACCACGTTGGCGGAGTTCCAGGTAGGAAGCCAGATGGGCTGTTGACCCAATGGAGAGGCACATCCCTGCCAGAACGCGCTGCGAAGAACAAGAACCTCAACTCCAGTGCTGGGTGCGGGCTCGACGCCCTTGGGAGGAGGAGGCATGTTGATGGCAACCATGGAGAGGACAAGCTCCTTGGCCAGATCCTCAGCGCCAGCGCCCTCAAGACGAAGACGGAACTGCTCTACATCGAAGTGATATGTGAAGAAAGTGTAGAGGAACATCCAGGTCTGCGCAAGAGTAGGAGTCTGCTTCTCCCAGCTCAAGGACCAGACAGGACTTCTTCTAGCACGAGCATACTCACGGTTATCAGAATCAGGGATCTTATCAGATTCCACAGCGGGAATCTTGGAGAAAACTAGATCATCTGCATGGAGAACCTTGGGGAACGGCTTGCCCTCTGTGACGGAGTCGTCCTTGCGCAGACGATAGGACTGCTTACCCTCAGCAGTGCGCTCGAGGTAGTAGGTGGACAGATAAGGCAGAGGCAGCCTGATCTTGATTGGCGACTTTTGCTGGAATGGTTCTGAAGACATGATTGTTGGTTGATGGCTTGTGACTACTGACTGACTGACTGAACTTGTTCTTTTTTCTCCCCAGATTTTATTTATACCCCGATCTCGGTGTTGAAGGGTCTTGGCCCAATCAGATTAGATAAGATGTATTCCATCTTTTGCTCGAGACGGCGAATATCCCGATGCCTACCGTGAAGTGGACAAGCCGAGGGAAGCAGGGCAGGGTAGGGGAGTCCGTCTTGTAAAGCTTGGAACTTGGAAGCTTGGTCGGGGATGAGGTGTCGTGTTGTGTCCGGTCTGTGCCGATTATCCGCAGTCCCTGCGAGCTTTGCAGTGGGATCATGCCACTAAGTAGACGCTAATTGGGGCCAAGTGGATGGGGTGTGCCCCAATTTGAGTCGCGGAGATTTAGAGTGGAAGCTGTTATGGGGTTCTGAGTTTTTTGCTCGCTGACCCGGAGAGGAATTTTGTCTGGTGTTGGTGAAGCTCATCAAGTATTGAGCTGCTCACAACAAGCACTACTCTAGAGAACGTATTGACTAACTTGCATTAAGTTCCCCTCATTCCTCAAGTACGAGAGTTAATTCTTTTGATCAGCTTCGAATCGCCTCCGACGTCACGACAGTCGTAATAATGGAGGGTGCATGCGAGCTTGACCCGTTCTTAGTTGTAACCCCGGGATGGCATTCACGCCACTGACTTTCGCTTCACCACTACGAAACAAGGCTTGCCGAGCTCTACCTAATCAATCACTTTTTGCCATCAATCAGATTAGATTAGATTGATATGTTCTGCGAATCGCGAGTGCCCGGCGACACATGGCTTGGAGCTAAAGCATCACTACCAGGCTTAGGGTAGGAGTCTGGCGATGCAGATGGCGAGCACAAGACGTTACAATAAAACCGATGCATCGACTCGTTGGGTATGGACTTGAATGCATAATTGGTAATCCGATGAAGTTTATTGCTTTTGTACGGCTGAGCGAAACGAGCGAAACAGAGCGGTAAATCACTTGGTTTTATGACCGTTTGATCGGATATGCCGACTCCCTGGTTTGCTCATTCGCGCCACCGAGCAGGCTACGATATGTGCTATCACAAGCTGGAAGGCAGATTCCAAACGGTGAGATCAGATCCCAGGTGAGTTATTCACTGTGCCGCGAGGCTGTTTGATGGGGTTATAGCTCGAATGGAATGTCTACGAAGTCATGGTCACGCAGCACCGAGAGTTGTTTGACTCTTGGTCGTGTAACAGCGCAACATATGCGACGGAAGCCATGCTTGACAAACGCCTCCATCAGTACCCCACGCAAACAAGTGTAGAAGCACCTTGAAGTTTGAGTCTTTGGAAGCGATCGGAAAGAAGCAATTTACTCGTATCAATTGATTGTGCAAACTGCGGCATCTTTCAGCGCTTCCGCCGACCACATCACAAATGCACGTCGTCACCCGCTGGCCCCCTCGATCAATTGGACCGTTGCGCAAGCACTCGCAGGACAACGAGGAGCTGAATGGAGACTATTGAAGCAAACATGACCATGAAAACACAATTTAACGCGACCAGAAAAGTTGCCGAAACACGTACTTCGCAGGGCTGGTTGCGCTGCGAAAGCTGAGGGCACATAGGTCAAGCAGGCCCTTTCGCGACCGCATCACGCTCACTTGTGTTTTCAGCTCCTGGTTCAAGAATCGATCTAGGGCCCCGATTCATATATCGCTCATTATTCATGCCCAATCACCGGCTTATTCAATCGTGTTTGAACTCGATGTCATTCTTGTCGAGGCGAGAAAGATGCGGTCTCGGTTCGGAGGGAAACAGTGGCTTGCTTGCTCAACTACCGATAGCACCGGGACATGCTTGTTAGCCAAGAAAGCCACATTTTGGCATGAGTGGAAAAACGAAAACAACAAACTGTAGCCAAGGCAGTGAGATCCATGTCTAAATGGTGTTTTCCAGCCATTGTACGTATATTTTGGTGCGAGTATTCTGAGAGCGCATTGAATGAAGCTCTGCTGGAACTCTTTAGTTAGACCAGTCCTCACGTCAAAGCAGGCAGTGATCATCCCCAAGCTCTTGGAACTGTCATAGCTCCCATGAAAATTCTGCTCAAGCATCCGATCTCGGTGCTACGCTAGCATCATGCATGATCATGAAAAAGAAATCACTAGAATGCAGCATGTGATGCATTCTGGCCCTGGATTATCAGATGTGATTGATTAGATTCTCAAACGGTTCATTCCGTAGCTCGACGCCAAAGCGACCAGGTGCTATGCCATGCGCTGGAGGGGGCGTGGGCGTGCCAGAGATCGAGGGACAGGGATCTTTTCAACTGAACCCTTCTGGAACTCTAACGCAGGCTTGGGTCACATTGCACCATCTTTTTATCTGATCGGAACAGAATCATCAAGAGACTGGCCATTGAGCATCCTCGGCTTCATCAGATAAACCCTGCCGACCTGTTTTTATCACCGAGTGCAGCACATAACCGTATACTCACCGAAACATAGACTAGACCGTCCACAATCCTCCAGCAAACCGGTCACCATGGTGCAACACACGTTCAGTCGCCAACCACCAGCCCAAAGCTATGGCCTCGTCTCATTCCCAGCACAACACGTTATGCTCGTGGTCTTCAACCGACCCAAAGCCCTCAATGCAATGACCAGTGACGCAGAATATGAGCTCGAAGCTCTCTGGGAGTGGTACGACGACGAGCCCTCACTGCGCTGCGCCATTGTCACAGGCGCTGGGCGTGCATTCTGCGCTGGCATGGACCTCAAAGAATGGAACCAGATCAATCAGCGCAAGAGAGACGGAATTCCCGAGAAGAGACCCATGGACCCGCCCACGACGGGATTTGGCGGCCTTTCGCGAAGAAGCGGAAAGAAACCCATCATCGCCGCTGTAAACGGTCTGGCGATGGGAGGCGGTTTCGAGATCATCGCCAATCTCGACCTCATTGTCGCTGCGAAGAGCGCTACCTTTGCTCTTCCTGAGGCTAAGATTGGTGTCGTTGCTAATGCAGGCTCTCTACCAAGACTAGCAAGAACAATTGGTCGCCCGCGCGCCACAGAAATGGCTCTCACAGGGCGGAGCATCAGTGCTGCAGAGGCCCGCGAATTTGGCTTTCTCAACGCCATCACCGAAGACGCCCCAGCAGACAGCGATGTGCTCGAGCGACCAGTGGTGCAGAAGGCGCTGGAGTACGCTGCGCTCATCATCAAGAATAGCCCCGACAGTGTTATTGTGTCTCGCGCGGGTATCCTTGCGGGCTGGGAGCATGGGAGTGCTGAGAATGCAGTCCGGGTGCACCGTCAGACGTGGGACAAGATCATGGCTGATGGGCACAATTTCCACGAAGGCGTGCAGGCCTTTGTGGAGAAGAGGGCACCGAGATGGGTGGATAGCAAGCTATGATGCATGACAGTGCATTAATGAGGCATTTTCCCTCTGTATTCTTTCTTGTTTAGTATAGAGCCCGACATACATACTTAATTCACATTAGAGCTAGCCACGCTGCCACGGCGGTTTCAGACACGGACAAGTACCTTGCAGAAGGCTCCTAAGGACCTAATCGTTCAGTGGCTTGTGGTGTGACGCCATGGCAAGCTCGTGTGGAGATTTCACAGATCCTTGTCAATCTGATCAGATAATGAACTTATCAATCACCCCACCACACGAAGAGAAAAAAATGTCGCCTCGGCTCCATGGGGGTCATCACTTCATCCACTACGTCCCCGCCGACATGTCGATTATTACTACTCTCCGTATAGTAACGGAACGAAGAGAAACCCTGTTCTCCCTTAGGTTGCAACGCTGTTACATACCGCGGTGGAGAGGCCTGCAACTCGACCACTTCAGCCAGGGCCAGTCTTGTTCACCTCCATCGAACCATTTGCTACATGCAATACTACGCGGATGAATCCTTTACCAGAGCTCTGGCTACCGCATCGCACTCTACTGCATGAGTTCATGCGAACGTGTGTTTCCCCTGTTTAAAGAAGCAGCCTCATTCACAACCGCCTTGGCAGAGCAACCTCTCACCGAAGCCACGCATCTCCCCCTCCCTTCTTCTTGCCTCTTTGCCCGCGCTAGTTCCGCAACTTTTCACACGGGAAGCTAGGATGTATCCAAAGGGTCCATCGAGCGTGGGGCCTTTCATCCTCTTCACGTCGATTCACGTACGGATTAGCGTGCCGAGATCAGCAATGGACGACCGATGAGCAGACGACTCCCCAAGACGGACACCCTCCGAAGTCGCCCATGATGGGAAGCTCGGGACCCTGAGTGAGTGAAGCTTCAAAGGTCCCCGTCTACCCCCCACACAGCTTGTATACGATATGCTCAAGACGGATGGAAAACCTCTGTTCAATACGTAATGGTGTTCCTGCTGTTTGGGCTGGCAATTCTGCAATAAAATAGTGGAGGCGTTCATGTAGAGTTTCTTGTCGTTGCAAACTGCATTTGTCTGTATTCCAATCGTCTCCAGTGGGATCTTCTTCCAGCCCACCAAATACAACATTAAAACAGATACACACAAGACAGCCCATCCATCATGGGAGATGTTCAGTCATCGGCGCAGCCGCGGGCCAAGGGTGTGCGGTATGACGTACCCGTTCTTCGCAAACAACAAGACCAAGATAGCCCTGAGCTTGAGATCCTACTATTAGCATGGACGCTTCTTCTGTATCGTCATAGCCACGGAAACCATGTTGAGTTCTCGTGGGGTTTGAGCGAAATTGGTTCCTCGACGTGTCGCACATTCACCCTCAACACATCGAAACTGCAATGGGATGGTAGCGATTCTGTCGCATCGGAGCTCAAGGTGTTCCGGAGCTACCTACAACAAGAATTACAGTCAGAACAGCCTTTTGAAACTAAAGGATACAAGTTCTTCTTCAATGATGAGGCTGCGACAGGCGAGGTCGTCACCAACGTGACTGATAAGGGCGAGTTGTCAGTGAACTGGGTAAGCGCATGAGCCTCACCTCTCATCTACACCAGTTAACGGGTTGCGCGAC